GACACTGTCAGGGACACGGGGACACGGTTGGGGACACGGGGACAGGGCTGGGGACACGGGGACAGGGCTGGGGACAGGGTTGGGGACACGGGGACAGGGCTGGGGACACTGTCAGGGACACGGGGACAGGGCTGGGGACAGGGCTGGGGACACGGTTGGGGACACGGGGACACGGTTGGGGACACGGGGACAGGGCTGGGGACACTGTCAGGGACACGGGGACCGGGCTGGGGACATTGGGGACAGGGCTGGGGACACGGGGACAGGGTTGGGGACACTGGGGGGACACAGGGGACAGCGAGGGATACAAGGGAGACCGGGGGGCTCGGGGGGACACGGGGGGACAGGAGCAGGCTGGGTGGCAGGGAGATGTCACCGGGGACACCACGGGGACACGGGGGGACAGGAGCACGGCGGGGGAACCCCGGGGCCGAGCCCATCCTGGGGCCGGGGGTGTCACCGGGTGGGGAGGGGGACACCGGGGACACCCTGGGGACAATGAGGGGGTCGGGGGGTCACTGAGAGGGGAGGACACTGTGGGGACATCGTGGGGGCCCCTCCAGCCCCCTGGGGACCCCCCTGCTGTCACCTGCCAGCCGCCCCAGGCCACCATTGCCCAGCCCCGCGTCCTCCTCGATCTCCTGCAGCTCCTCCATGTCCAGCCCGAGCTGGGGATGGGGACAGCAGAGCAGGACTTGGGGCGGGGGGGCACCCCAAAACGTCCCCACCCCCTCCTCCCCCCGCTGTCCCCTCTCTGTCCCCCATCCGTGTCACCCCCGTCCCATCCCGACCCCAGCCCCGCATCGCAGCCCCTCTGCAGCGCCCCACGACCCCTCACCAGCCCCCCAAACCCCCAGAGCCCCCCAAACCCCCCGTGCCCCCCCAAACCCCCCGTGTCCCCCCAAACCCCCAGAGCCCCTCAAACCCTCCGTGCCCCCCCAAACCCCCAGAGACCCCCAAACCCCCCGTGCCCCCCCAAACCCCCAGAGACCCCCAAACCCCCAGAGACCCCCAAACCCTCCGTGCCCCCCAAACCCTCCGTGCCCCCCAAACCCCAGAGCCCCCCAAACCCCCCGTGTCCCCCCAAACCCCCAGAGACCCCCAAACCCCCCGTGCCCCCCAAATCCCCCCTGTCCCCCAAACCCCCCGTGCCCCCCAAACCTCCCGTGCCCCCCCAAACCCCCCGTGCCCCCCAAACCCCCCGCGCCCCCCAAACCCCCCGTGCCCCCCAAACCCTCCGTGCCCTCCCAAACCCCAGAGCCCCCCAAACCCCCGTGCCCCCCAAACCCCCCGTGCCCCCCCAAACCCCCCGTGCCCCCCAAACCCCAGAGCCCCCCAAACCCCAGAGCCCCCCAAACCCCCCGTACCCCCCTAAACCCCCCGTGCCCCCAAACCCCAGAGCCCCCCAAACCCTCCGTGTCCCCCCAAACCCCTGAGCCCCCTAATCCCCGTGCCCCCCCACACCCCCGAACCCCCCAACCCCCACGCCCCCCCAAACCCCCCGTGCCCCCCAAACCCCCCGTGTCCCCCAAACCCCCCGTGCCCCCCCAAACCCCCGTGTCCCCCCAAACCCCCAGAGCCCCCCAAACCCCCCGTGCCCCCCCAAACCCCCGTGCCCCCCCAAGCCCCAGAGTCCCCCAAACCCCCGTGCCCCCCAAACCCTCCGCGCCCCCCCAAACCCCCAGAGCCCCCCTAACCCCCGTGCCCCCCAAACCCCCAGAGCCCCCCAAACCCCCAGAGCCCCCCAAACCCCCCGTGCCCCCCAAACCTGGTAGAGCGCCTCGTCGCAGCCGCTCTGCAGCCCCAGGTTCACCATGGTGTTGGTCAAGGTGCGCCCCATGTAGAACTCCAGGGACAGGTAATAGATGCGCTAAAAGTGGGGGTCGGGGGGGTTTGGGGGTGTCACCGGGGGTCACGGACACCCCCGGGCCCCCCCCCGGCCCCGCCGCCCCCCCGCTATCCGGTGTCGGGATTAAATGGCAGCGGCGGGGCAGCGGGAAAGGTCAGGATAAATTTAACTGGGGATGGGGGGGGGAAGGACCCCCCCAGTCCTGATCCCCCCCCCCCCAAAATGCACCCCCAAACTCGCACTCCCAAAATCTCCCCCTCCCAGACCTGAGACCCCCACAAACCCACAGCCCCCCCACCCCCACCATTCCCGGTGACCCCGACCCCCACATCGGGGTGATTCTCACAGCAGCACTGCTGGGCACGGAGCCCCCCCAGGAGCCCCCCAAATTCCTCCAGGCCCCCCAGGACCTCTCTGGACTCCCACCAAAATCCCTTTTCCCCCACTTTGGATTTCTTCTCTTTATACACTGCTGGGTCTGCAGCCCCCAGACCCCTCTAGGGCCCCCCAAGACCCCCCAAACCCCACCTTGGGGTCTTTCCCATGGTGGCACCGCTGTCTGTGCAGCCCCCAGACCCCTCAAGAATCCCCCCAGTTGCCCCCAGGACCCTCCAAACCCCCACTTTGGGGTCCTTCTCTTTATAGCGCAGCTGGCTGTGCAGCCCCCAGACCCTCTGAGGACCCCCCAAACCCCCCAGGAACCCCCCAAACCCCCACTTTGGCGTCCTTCTCTTTATAGCACCGCTGGTTGTGCAGCCCCCAGACCCCTCTAGAACCCCCCAAATCCCCCAGGACCCTCTAGGACCCCCACTTTGGGGTTCTTCTCTTTGTAGCACCGCTGGCTGTGCAGCCCCCAGACCCCTCTAGGACCCCCCAGGACCCCCCAAACCCCACCTTGGGGTTCTTCTCTTTATAGCACCGCTGTCTGTGCAGCCCCCAGACCCTCTGAGGACCCCCCAACCCCTCCCCAGGACCCCCCAAACCCCACCTTGGGGTCTTTCTCGTAGTAGTACTGCTGTGTCCGCAGCCAGCGCCCCACCAGGTGGTCGCGCACGGTGTGCGCCAGCGCCATGTAGTAGTCGCGGGATGTCGCGACATTGCGGTCCTTGACGAGGGTGAAGTGCAGGTGCCGGTTGAAGTTGCGCTTCAGCTCCCCCACGTTCTCGGGCCCCGCCAGCCCCCGCACGCTGATCTGCCGCCGCCGCTCCGCGTCGCTCAGCGGTCGCGACATGGCGACAGAGACGGGAAAAGGGGGGCTCGGGAGAGGCAGAGGGGCTCTAGGGGTCCGGATTTGGGGGGTCCGTAGGGAGCCGGGCTGGGGGGCTCCGGGGGTCCGAGCTCCGGGGGTCCGGATTTGGGGGCTCCGGGGGTCCGGATTTGGGGGGTCCGAAGGGATCCGGGCTGGGGGGCTCCGGGGGTCCGAGCTCCGGGGGTCCGGTTTTGGGGAGTCCGGAGCGCTCCGGGTTTTGGCGGAGGTTTTGAGGATTTCGGATTTTGGGGGGGTCCGGAGGGCTCCGGGTTTTAGGGGGGTCTGGAAGGATCCGGGTTTTGGGGGGGGGCTCCCGGTTTTGGGGGTTTAGGACTTGGGGGGCTCCGGGCCGGGGGCGGCGGCAGCGGCGCCGCGGCCGCTTTGAGCGCGCGGCTGCTTCAATATTCATGAGAGGGGCGGAGCTTGGAGGAAACCACGCCCCTATGCTGACGCGCAGGGTAATTATGGCGTAATTATTCATCAAGGGGCGGAGCTCGAGGCGGGCAGCGCCCACCGCTCGTTAATTATTCATGAGGAGGCGGAGCTTGAGCGCGCCCTGAGGGGTCGCACACACCCCTGAGACCCCTCCCCAAAACCGGGGGGTCCCGAATGCCCGGGGGGGGGTGGGGGGGAAGGTCGGGGGTCTCTGCGTGTCCCCCACCCTCGCTGCGTGTCCCGAGTGTCCCCGCTGGATTTGGGGGGGGGTCCTGGGGGTCTGTGGGTGCTGTCCCCGCCCCCACCTCTCCCCCCCCACCCCGGTAACCGGATCGCGGCCGAGGTCGCGACATTCGCGGCGACATTCGCGGTGACCCCGGCGCTGAGTGACGGCCGCAGGGGGTGGGGGGGGCGCGACCCCCGCCGCACCGGCTCCGGTTTCACGGCGGGGGGGGAAAGGGGGGGAGGGGACACGGCGAAACCCGACCCCGGTGAGGCGGGGGGGGGACACGGGACACGAAATGAGGGGGGGCCCAACGGGGGTCCCGCTCCTTTATTCATACACAAAAAAAAGCGCGGGGGGAGGGGGCGCGGGGGGCTCTACAAGGGAGGGGATTTGTTTTTGGGGGGGGGGGGGTCCAGAACGAAGAGGGAGTAACACAGGAGAGGGGGACCCCGAGATTTTTTCGGGGGGGGGGCTCAGGTTTGTGTCGCTGCACCCCCCCCCAAACTTGCAGACCCCCCCTCCCCTATCCCTGCCCCCGCCCCCTCCTCAATTCAGGGCCGCCTCCGATTTGGGGATTTTTGGGAGGGGTGGGGGGTAAACCAGTTCACAAGGTGGTCCCGGGGGGGTTTTGGGGGGGGGGGGGCGCATGGACGGGGAGGAAACCCCAAAATCCATCAGTTCATGGAGGGGGGGAGCTCCCCATTGTGGAACAGCCCATGGAAGATTTTGGGGGGGGGGGCTCCATGTGATGGAACAGCCCGTGGGGGGGCAGGGGGTCCCCCAAAATGGATCAGCCTGGGGGGGGGGGCTCCCTGATCTTTTTGGGGAGGGGGGGTCCCCACAATCCATCAGTCCGGGGGGGGCTCCTTACAATGGATCAGTCCTTGTGGGGGGGGGGGTCCCTGGACGTTTTTTTTTTTTTTGAGGGGGGGTCCCAACGAATCAGTCCTGGGGGGGGAATCCCAATGATGTTTTTGAGTGGGGGGGGTCCCCACAATGGATCAGTCCTGGGGATGGGGGGGGGGGGGGGATCCCCATGATATTTTTGAGGGGGGGGTCCCCACAATGAATCTGTCCTGGGGGGGTCCCCATGATGTTTTTGAGGGGGGGGGTCCCCACAATGGATCAGTCCTTGAAGGGGGGGTCCCCATGATGTTTTTGAGGGGGAGTCCCCACAATAAATCTGTCCTGGGGGGGCTCCCCATGATGTTTTTGAGGGGGGGTCCCCATGGTGTTTTTGAGGGGGGGTCCCCACAATGAATCAGTCGTCGAGGGGAGGGGGGGGAATCCCCTGCTGTAATTTTTTTTCTGTTTTTTGTTTTTTTTTTGGGGGGGGGGCTCCCCGCAGCGGCCGTGCCCGAGGCTCAGTTCTGGGGGGGCGGCGGGGGGGGCGCGGGGGGCATGCCGAAGGGGGGCAGGGCGGGCACCCCCATGCCCATCATGGTGACGAAGTTAGAAGGGTCCATGGGGGGGGGCGGCGGGGGCGGGGGGGGCGCGTACATCAGCCCCCCGGAGCCAGGGGGCGGCGGGGGGGGCGGGGGGGCCCCGGGGGGCAGCGGGGGCTGTACCCCGGGGGGCAAAGGCACCATGGAGGGGCTGCCGGGGAGCGGGGGGGCCCCCGAAGAAGCCGCCCCCCCCCCCGCCGCACCCCCCCCCGCCTGCTGCTGCCAGGGAGGGAGGGAGGCGCTGCCAGCGCTCGTGGTGGTCGTCGTATCTGTTGGTTTGGGGGGGAAAAGGGTTAAAAATAGGGGTTAATTAGCACTGGGGTTAATTAGAGAGAGGCTGAGGAGGGGGGAGAGCAGCCCAGCCCGATTTAATTACGGGGTAATTAAAGGTGGGGGTTAATTGGGGACAGGGAACCCCCTCCCACCTTTGTGCAGGGAATCCCCAAAAGGAACAAGACCCCCCCCCCCACCACTGCCCACCCCCAGAGCAGCTCATTTGGGATTTGGGTTAATTAGTGCGCTGTTAATTAAAGAGAAAACTCCCATTTATAAGGAACAACCCCTCCCCTTTCCTTTCCTTTCCCAAGAGACATCAAAGTGACTGAACAACCCCCCCTCCCTCAGGGAAAAATGACCCAAACCCGTGAAATAACCCCAAAAATCCCTCCTGCCACTCACCCCCCCCAGCCCAAAGCCCCCCGGGGGCGCCCCCAGACTCACTTTGCTGCCAGGGCAAGGGGGTGCTGCTGCTGCTGGGGGGCGGCGGCGGCTGCTGCTGCCAGGGAGGGAGGGGGCCGGAGGGGGGGGGCGGCTGCCCACCGGGCGGGGGGGGCGGCGGGGGCAGCATACCCAGCGGCGGCGGCATCATACCTGGGGGGCAAATCTGGGGGGTCAGGGGGGGCAGGACAGCTGAGGGCACTGGGGAGGGGGAACTGGGGGGGGGCAGGGGGATTTGGGGGTGTCAGGACAGCCAGGGGTATTGGGGAGGGGGAAATTGGGGGGGTCAGGGGGAGTTTGGGGTGTCAGGACAGTCAGGAATAGGGATACCATATTGGGGAGGGGGAAATTGGGGGGGACGGGGAGTTTGGGGGTGTCAGGACAGCTGGGGGCACTGGGGAGGGGAAACTGGGGGGGGGTCAGGGGGATTTGGGGGTGTTAGGACAGCTGGGGGGACTGGGGAGGGGGAATTGGGGGGGGCAGGGGGAGTTTGGGGTACCAGGATAGCTGGGGGGACTGGGCAGGGGGAAATTGGGGGGGTCAGCGGGAATTTGGGGTGTCCAGACAGCTGGGGGCACTGGGGAGGGGGAATTGGGGGGGGCAGGGGGAGTTTGGGGTGTCAGGACAGTCAGTAATAGGGATACCATATTGGGGAGGGGGAAACTGGGGGTGTCAGGACAGCCAGGGGTATTAGGGAGGGGGAAATTGGGGGGTCAGCGAGAATTTGGGGTGTCAGGACAGCTGGGGGGACTGGAGGGAAACGGGGGAGGGAGTGGGGGGGAAGCCTGGGGAGG